TGTATATATGAAGGAGAAGCTCCCAGTGAACATGAGGGCTTGTAAAGAAGCTTGTTTGGGGTTCCCAAGAGACTCAAGGCTGGGCTGGAACCGTGGGCCATAGTGTCTTGACAGTTGTTGTTAGTGGAAAGTTTTTGAGGCAGTGTGAGGACCAGATGGCAGCATCTCTCAATATGGGTGACATTTCTCACCAAGGGTGATGTATGCTCAATGGGTACTGGCTCTCCACTCCATGTCATCTCTCTGCTGGGGGGAAGGGAGAAGGAGCAGTGTGCAAGCTGGTCTGCATTGTGCTTTCCTGGCCTGTGTCCCTGGCCCCGGTGGCTTACCTCTGTTGTGGTCTTACTGTGCCGCAGAAGAGAAACTGTGTCCATGTTTCATAGGGGTGCCTGGGGTGCCAGACATTGAGCACCTGGAGACCCCAACTTCTTTCCCCACACCTGATCTCTGCCTCTGCTTGCTTCTGAGTCTCTCTTCCTCTCTGACTCTCCCCTCTTCTTCCTCCTCCCTTTCCCTGGAGGCACTTAGGCTCCCAGACCAGGAGAATAGATGAGAGCAGCTGACTGACAGTGAGGGCAGGTGCCTAATGATTGCACTGGGCACCTACTGGAATTAGAGCTTCGGGCTCCCCTGCTCTTGCTGGGCTCTGATGAAAGTTTACGTGCCATTTTCTCGTTTCCTGTAAAGCCTGTCAGGAGGTTTTCAGCGAGAAGAAAGACAGAGAGAGTTTGCCTTAATCCTGGCCTGCCCCATATTTCTGCCTTTAAGTGGATCCAAGCCCAAACCTTGTAATTATCTCAAAAATAGACCCGATCGCCATAGCACATTTGATGGGTTTCCGGGGCGGCATCTCACGCGCCAGTGCGACCTGGAGGAGCAAGCCCAGTGGCAGGACGGAGAGGCAGCTGGGGCTGCTCATCTCACATCCCATCTCGGTGTAAGCAGTCTCCAAGCTCATTAACTGGCTCTCTGAGGAGGGCCTGGCATTTATCTTTGAGAGCCATCTCGGCGCTCTGAGCTCATCTGGCTAAAAGGCAAGGGAAGGGACAGAGCTAACTGCTCGCCTCGTTTTAGCCAACAGGGAAGGCTTTGCCAGACGTCATGGATGGCCCCTGATCTGCTCTGCCTGATCATCCATCTGCCTGAAGAGCTGCCCCCATTTTCCGTTCCCACTGCTGTGCGTGAGAGCAGCGGCTCCCCACACTGCTACCTGCAGAAGGGTCCCTCCCACTTCTTTCCTAATGCAGGGAGTGTGCAGGCACCACCCATGCCCTAGGAATGAACCTGCAAGAAACCTCATGGAGTAGCTGAGTGTGCGGGGTGCACCTGTTTAGACTATGCGGTCATTCAAGCTTTCCCTGCAAGGGTGAGGTGGCACCACCCTTCACTTTAGGTAGGATAGTCTTTCATCTACCCAGAGACCCCCAGTGATGTGTTCACGGATTCTGGTGTAGTCAGGAAATCTGTGAAAGTGCTACAAGTGATGGGGTGATTCCACATCAGGGGTTGTCAGATGATGGGATTGCCTTGGGTGACCAGAGCACCTGGCGTCCAGTGAGGACGAGCCAGGGAGGTTGCGGAAAGTCTCCAAAGCCAGGACAACTCCCACCCTCATCACCATACAACAATGCATTTTAAAAAACACATTTTAGGGCCTGGCGCGGTAGCCTGGTGTCTAGAGTCTTAGGCTTGCGTGTGCTGGGATCCCATATGGATGCTGGTTCTAATCTTGGTCACCCTACTTCCCATCCAGCTCCCTGCTTGTGGCCTGGGGAAGCAGTTGAGGATGGCCCAAAGCCTTGGGACCCTGTACCCGCGTGGGAGACCCAAAAATTCCTGGCTTCGGATCGGCTCAGTTCCAGCCATAGTGGCCACTTGGGGAATGAATCATTGGACAGAGGATCTTCCTCTCCGTCTTTCCTCTCTGTATATTTGATTTTTCTAATACAAATAAATAAATAAATATTTTATTGGAAACATTTACAGAGGGAGAAGGAGAAACAGAAAGATCTCTAACCACTGGTTCACACCCCAAATGGCTGCAATGGCCAGGGTTGGGCCAGACCAAAGTCAGGAGCCAAGAACTTCAAAGAACTTCATCCAGGTCTCTCATATGGGTGGCAAGGACCCAAGTGGTTGGATCATCTTCTACTGCTTTCCCAGGCACAGGGTGCTGGGTGGGAAGTAGAGCAGCCAGGACTTGAACCAACACCCATGTGGGATCATCTGCCTTTGCCACCCCCTCCATCTCCACCAGCAAGCTTCAGCCAGCCCCTAACTAATTCTTTCAGCTGACAGGTTTATCAAGAGGTCATGTGTGGAGAAACAGACATAGTTTCATTTCTGTTGTGACGCAGTGTTAAAGATTGAAGGATGTTTTTGTGCAAGTCTGAAGGAATGATTGTCTCTATACAAACGCCCTGTCCATGATCGTTGAATGACTGGTAGGAATGCAGTGTGTCTAAAATGCCCAAAGAATCTCTGGGGAGCAGAGTGTTGACTTGGATTTATTCTAAAAATTTATTTATTTATTTGAAAGGCAGAGTTAACAGAGAGAGAGAGAGAGAGAGAGAGAGGAGAGAAATCTTTCATCCTCCAGTGGACTCTCCACATGACCACAAAGCTGGAGCTGGCCAAAGCAGGGACCCTGGAGCTGCGTTTGGGTCTCCCAGTCCCTTGGGCTGTCTTCCGCTGTTTTTTCAGGGAGTTAGCAGAGATGTGGATTGGAAGTAGAGCAACCAGGACTCTAGTTGGTGCCGGTATGTGATGCTGGTGCTGCGTGCTATGCCACAGCACCGGCCCCTGGTTTTCTTTCTATCCACCTGACATTCTGGCTCTCTGTGCCTGCATGGCCTTCCCTGCAGACTTTCACGTGCTGACATGGGCTCCTGGGAGGGCACATCAAAATGCTCACGGGAAATGGACTTGAAAGAGAAGTTGATTTGGGTGCCAGAAATTTGACACCCATGCAAATGAAGATTCTTGGAAAAATGCATGAGGAGTACCTATTAGGGGGAAAAACATGCAGCAGCGATTTCAGAAATCTTTTGCTTCCAAATCATCTTGTCTTCTGATTCCATTTTGTACCAGCTTTCTGAAGTACCCTTCCAGTACAGTGCTGTGAGGCTGCGGAGGAGGAAGGCTCGAAGGGGAGACTTCTGTGGAACCTTCTTTCTCCACAGCCCCCTGCACCAGCAGTGAGGTCCTGACAGGCTCAGCAGCAGCAGGTGCTGGCATCTTAAATAAGGTGAAGAATCAGCAGGAAGGGTGTGCTCCACAGCTGCGTGATTGATGGGCAGTAGGAACGTGTAGCTCACGGTTCTGGGGGCTGGCAGTACCAGGTCAGGCTGCCAACCAACCTTCGCTGGGCTCTGCGGACGGCCTCGTCCAGTGTGTCCTTCCACACTGGATGACGCTTAGAGTGGCCAACAAGCTGCTCGGGCTCGTAAGGGTGCTGATCCCATCGACAAGGCCCAGACCCTGCTCCCAGGCCCCACCTTCGGTAAGGTGCTTGCTTCATCTCAGGAAGTTTTTTTTTTTTTTTAAAAGATTTATTTATTTTTATTGAAAAGTCAGATATACAGAGAGGAGGAGAGACAGAGAGGAAGATCTTCCATCCACTGATTCATTTCCTCACATGGCCTCAACAGCCAGAGCTGCACTGATCTGAAGCCAGGAGCCAGGAGCCTCTTCCAGGTCTCCACACAGATGCAGGGTTCCAAGGCTTTGGGCCGTCTTTGACCGCTTTCCAAGGCTGCAGGTAGGGAGCTGGATGGGAAGCAGGGCCACAGGGATTAGAACCAGCACCTATATGGTATCACAGCATGTGCAAGGTGAGGACTTTAGCACTAGGTTACTGCAGGGTGTGGCAAAGAGATGATTAGTACAGTAACTGGGTGGCAGGGGGATGATGCTGTGCAGGTGGCCCTGGGGACAGGCTCGGCCCTGGGAGCAAGTGAGCAGGGAACTCAGCACTTGTCCCTGCTGCAGGGTCCTTGGACTGGGAGGAGAGGAAGGCCTCTGAGAGCAGGCCCGGCCTCCTCGGGTCCCTTGACGTCCCCGTCATTTCCCAGATGGAACCTGAGAGACTCAGCATGGCATTGCGTGGGACATTAGGGTCAGGCATGCCTCGTTGTCTGAGTGTCAGATGTGTACGTCCAGGGTGTGGGTGGGTCTCAGGGCGTGTCTCAGACCCACAGCCCTCCGTGGGAGCAGCTGGTGCTGGGCAGAGTCTGGGACAGGGCCTTCTCGTGTTGTTTTCCTGATGGTGGAGGGGCTGGTGGAGCTCATGTGGTGCGGTCCACCTTCTGTCCTAGGGCTGGAGCCTTCTTGGCCAGTTTGCGAATTGAGGGCGGAGAGAGAGGAAGTGAGAAGTGGTCCTGGCTCCACATGCAGCGCCTGTGCACAGGGTCAATGCAGCTGAGCCTCGGTGGGGGTCCTTTGGTGAGGGGCGGAGTTGGGAACAGATCCTGCTCGGAGGAGGGAACATTTCCAGGAAGCTGAAATCTGAGCTGGGGAGTTGAGTGGTCCTGAATGGTTTCTGCGATGGCTGCCAGACACCAGGGATGTGTTCCAGAAGGCATGGAATCTTCCTTGTCCCTGAGGCTGGACGTCAGCTATCCACACCTGCCTCTCCTCCCCGGTCCTGAGTATGATGGTTTCAGCTGCTCCTTGTCCACTCATGCCCGCCCTGGGGCCTCTGCACCTGTCGTCCCTCTCTCTGTGTCCTGGTCCCTTCTTGTTCTCCCTACTCGTGACAGTCCCTGCCACTGCGTCTGAAATGGCACCATCATTCTCCACCCCATCAACTATCACAGAACCTAGCGCCGTGTGGCCTGCTCCTGATTTATCGGTGATTCGACAGCAGTGCCTCCCACCCACACCCGTGCCGGGTGACAGAGCCTAATCTGTGAATGCGATCGTCATGCCCGGGAAGAGGATGAGGCATGCACAGCTGTTGGGCTGCGGAGCTCACCACTTCTCTTTGTGTTTCTCTGCAGGACCTGTCGCCCCTGCCGGAGGGTCTGTCAGAAGATCAGGTAAGGGCTGTGTTCCCGGCCGAGGATGCGTTCTGGTAAGGAGTGAGGCCAAGGGAGACGTGGTCATCCCCAGGGCTGACAAGCCCCAGATTTATTCCGCTCCCCTCTAAGTTACAGGGAGTTCTGGGTTAGGGTCCTTCCCAGAGCGTATGGAGATGAGGAATGAAAAGATGGGGTTCACTGGGAGCCACAAATGGTGGAATCTGCGGGTGGCTTACTCATTGTGTGTGAGCAGGTGTATCAAAGATCCCTTGTGTGCAGGGATTTTAAGAGGTTTTTTGTATGCCTTTTCATCCTGACTCTTATTTCCATTTTCTACCTGCTTTGTAAAGTCCCCTTGGTATCCTGGGGGAAGGATTTCAGGACCCCCTGGGGATGCCAAACTCCATCATGTCCCTGTATGTGAAGTGGTGTGGTCTGTGTGTGTGCTGGGCACACGTCCTATATAAATCAACTATGAATCTTCCGCGATTCCTCGTACAAGCAGTTGTTAATTCTGTGTTGTGTATCAAGTCCCTGTGTGTTCTGCACACATGATTGTTTTCTGAGTACTTTCTATCCAGGTTTGCCAAGTCCATGAATGTAAACCCCATCGATGCAGAGCTTGCATTGGGCACCAAGTGCAGTCCTGCCACTTCAGTGCCCATGGCAGGCATCTGTAATCAACCACAGCACTCTTCACCCTGTCAGCTGAGCAGTCCCCACTAATTGATCAGGAAAGCCTTGTGAGATGAAAGACGTGGCCTCTTGAATGGGTGGGTATAGTTTGGCTAGGTGTGTGAGGGGCTGGCAGGGGACACTGCAGGTGGTCGTGGAAGTGGGAATTTCATGCATGTCTCTCTCTTACCCTTCAGCTTTGGAGGCGAGTGAAGGCAGCCTCGTGCTCTGGCGTCACATTGTGTTGTTAGTGTGGAGTGGGGGTTCCAGAGCGCGGCCATGTCAGGATGTAATTGAGCCAAACAGATCTGTACCTCGGGGCAGTGCATTTCTGTATTGATTGCAACTCTGTGTTATTACTGTTGCCTAATGGGGAGCTAATGTAATTCCTAATGAAGCCGCACAGCCCTGGGATAGATGAAGCTGGATTTTATTTCCCGCGTGACGCTGGATCCTCTCTTCAGTTAAACCCTGGGAAGGCAAATTAATACAAATGTAAGACATTCTTTTTATTTTTTTTTCCTAAGATGAATGCCAAGACAGCAACTTTTCATGATGCTTGTCCGCGGCTTGTGTGACGTGTGGCTGGCCTTGGAGTGGCCAGGAGCTGCTTCAGTGTGTGGAATTGTTTTGGCAGGGAGGCTGCCCCTGGGGTTTGCATTTGGAGGGCACAAGGGCCTCTTCCAGGTCCTCCTGTCCTCCTCCCGCTGGGGTCACTGCTACTGGGACAGCTTTTGCCAGGTATCTGCTGGCAGCCAGTTTCAGGTGGGAGCATTTGAATGGCTGCTTTGTGAAACAGTTTTATTAAGGCAAGGTCCATGTACCATTAAATTAGTGGCTTTAAAACAGTGAATGCCTGTGGCACTCAGGACTTACACGGGAGTGCGTGGGTGCGTGGTCACTACCTCACGCTAAACATCCTGGAAGTCCCCAGTCTTTAAGGTGTCTGGTGGGTGGGCACCATCGTGTCCCCTCACCCCACTCTCAGCCACAGTGTATCTGTTTTCTGTCTTGATGAGTTTGCCTTTTTGAATGTTTGGTATCAGCAGATCCATACAGTAGACCAGATGACTGTGTCCACCTGTTGTTGCTTAGAAAACAGGTCCTGGCAGTCCTTCCAAGAACCAAGCAGAGGAGGAGCATGCAGCCTCGCTGGTCTCCCCGACGGCAGACGTCCACGAGACCCGGTCTTTTGGGAGCAAGGCAGGTACACAGACTTGCATGTCCATGGTGACATGGTTCAGAACAGCGAGAGGTGCAACTGTCCCAGGTGTCTGTCAGTGGTTGCTGGGTCGCTGGGTGCAGCGTGGGCTACCTGTGCAGTGGAGTACTATGCAGGCACAAAGGGGAAGGAAGCCTGGATGGCACTCCTGCCCCTGCTGACCTTGGCTGCTTCGTCAGACATGCTGGGGAGCTGTGATGTCCTGGGAGACAGAGGTCCCTGCTTCTGCGTTGGGCGTTCTGCCCAGCCACTGAGCTCAACCTTGCCTTCCAGGACTGGCGCTCAGGAACAGAGGTTGCGTCCCATGACCTATCCTCTTTGTGGACATTGTAGTTAACCAGAGCCATGGTGGGGGTGTCTGCGTATGAACAGCAGGGGTCTTGGGGGCAGCGGGCTGAGTGGGCTTAGCACTGAGTGGTCCACTGCTGCATATGCTGGCTGCAGTGTGGAGCAGGCTGCACAGGGGCTCTTCTAGGAGGGACTGGCTCTGGGCGTTTTGTGCTGTGGGGAGCTCGGTAGGATCCATCCCCAGCCCAGCACCTGTGTGGGCCCCATCCTAGAGCATCTGACAGGTAACAGGTGTATTAGGGCAGTTGGGGTGTTTGGGCAGGGGATGGTTCTGGGAGCTGAGGAGGCAAAGAGGCTCCTGCTAGGGGGCTGTAATAGGCTGTGGAGAATGCCTTATTCATGCACATTCCTCCTCCTATGTCCCTGGAGTGAGGGCACCATTGGCTACACCCACCTTCCCTCCCCCTTCCCCCATTCTTCTTTCCTTGCTAATGAAATACGCATAAAATAAAATGAGCTATTTTTTCTTTACTTTTTTGGTTTTTTTTACAAAATTTATTATTATTATTATTGGAAAGGCAGAATTACAGAGAGAAGAAGGTATAGAAGGAAATATCTCCTGTCCACTGCTTTACTTCCCAAGTGGCCGCAATGGCTGGAATTGAGCCAGTCTGAAGCCAGGATCCAGGAGCTTCTTTCAGATTTCCCATGCAAGTGTAGGGTTCCAAGGCTTTGGGCCATCTTCTACTGCTTTCTCAGGCCACAAGCAGGGAGCTGGATAGGAAGCGGGGTGGCCAGGACATGAACCAGTGCCCATGTGGGATCCCGGCATATGCAAGGTGAGGATTTAACCACTGAGCCATACCATTGGCTCCCTTTTCGTTTTTTTTTTTTTTTTAACTTAAAATTTTTTTTTAAAGAAAAAAAAATCCCTATTTATCTGGAAGGCAGAGTGATACATAAATACACCCATCAGAGCACTTTGCCTGACAACCAGTTCAGGAGCTTGGGGGCCTCTCACGTGGGCTGGGTGGGTTAGGCCTCCTGCGGTGATTGTAGCTCTGTCAGTTTCTGAGGGAAGCGTGTGCTCAGTGTGTTTTGAACCTGATCACCTGGTTGTGGGCTGGACTTTGATCCACGCACAATGTGCATCTCGAGGTTGCTCTGTGCTTCTGCGGGGGGTTGATATCTTTGTCCTCTCCCCGTTTGGTTCCTGGCAGCCCGGCCACGTGCTTGCGTTGTGGCTGTTCCGTCTCTTGTTTCTGTTGGTTGTAGGTATTTCAGAGCGGCTTTAGTGTACGTACCCAGTCTGGGCATCTGAGTCTTTTAATAGAGCAGCTCAGTGTGAGTGTGTTTGCCGTGGCAGGTGTGTCTGATCTTGCAGCATTTAAGAAATTACTGCTCGCAAAGAACCCATCCTGCTGCTTCCTTTATGAGCTCTGTTCTTAGCTCTGAAGTCTGACTGCTTTTATCTTGCCCACTGACCTGGAAGGCCGGCGTCCTCAGATGCTGTCTGCCTGTGGCTGCCTCTGAGTTCTTCTGGAAAGGGCGATGCAGCCCCCGTTTGCCAGATATGCAGAATCGAGGGTGAGGTGGCATCTCTGGGCCATGTCCAGGTGGGGTGTCGGTGAGCACTCCCCCACGCCTGCTTCCTTCCTTTTCCAGGCTTTGTTACCCTAGTCACTGAGGCAAAGTGATACTTCTGACATAATCATAGTGTGCAGATCCTTCAGAAAGTTTATGGAAGAGGGAAGTTAAGGTGTTTCTGTTATGGTGCAAAGAATTGAAATCCTCGTGTAGTTCTTTCTGAATATACATTTTTCCGTATGTTTTTGGAACACTCCCCTTATGGGCGGATTTTAAGCTTATCTCTCCATTCCTTTTTCCACAGGCGTGGGTCGTGGTGTCTGTCGGCTGAGTGGCTTAGGTTTCAGGAGATGTGTGCAGGGCCACCTGTGGAATTTGTCCCCTCAGCTCTGTGACTACCCAGTGAGGAGCTGTCCTTTCCCTCCAATGAGGGTGATTTTTGAGTTTCCCCTACTCTCCCAGGGCCCTGCGTCAGAGCAAGATGTGGAGCCGTTGGAGGGAGGGCCCAACCTTCTTCCTTGCTAATGCTCCAGGGAGGTGACAGAGGGTGGCCCAAGTCTTTGGGTCCCTGCCACCCAGAAGGGAGACCCTAATGGATGCTTGTTTGCTGGTGGCTGTGGAATGGCAATGGAGAGGATGACTTTGCTTGGATCATTGCACAAAGAAGCACTTGCCTCAGGAGCTGGGGAGAGATGCTCAGGCCGTGCTTGGGGTGGTGGTGGTGCAGCCTGGCTTCTTGGCTACGTGGCCCAGACTGCCACTTCGGATCTGAGACCTGTCTACTTGGCCTAAGTGACTGAAGTCTTTGCTCTGGCCTATAACCTACAAGGTGCTGGGTTGGGAGAGGCTGGCTGAGGGCTGGTCTTTGCTGTCTGGTCACTGCCTCTGCTGCCCACCCTGACTCCAGATTCCCTGCTAGGGAGTTGGTGGTGCTCACATCTGCCCTCTGCCGACCTGTGTGGCTCCTGCGGGTGCTTCACGGCTCTCAGAGCCCCGAGAGGGCCCCTGTAGACACCCACCTGCAGGAGATGTCCTGTCCCCTGTTCCCTGAAGTCCCTCCCCAGCCTGCCCCAGAGCCACAAAGGGACAGGATGCACAGCTCAGCTTGCATAGCCCCTTGCTTCTCACTGCACGCGGGGTGGCCCTGGTCCCTCCCCTTGGAGCTGCAGTGCCCTTTGGTTTCAGTAGCTCCTGGAGGACTGCACCTGTGCGTGTCCTACTTGCCTTGGAGGAGCAGGTTACAGGA